GAGGAGGGGGCTGGGGGCCCGGGCTCCCGGGTCTGAGGGAGGAGGGGCTGGGGGGTCTCAACTGCTAGGTCTGAGAGAGGAGGACATGGGGGCTGGACTCCTGGGTAAAATATTGTGAATTCATACAATGGGTCATTATTTGATTAAAAAAAAAAAGAATGAAATGCTGGTAATTGTGACAACCTAGATGAGCGAGAAAAGTATCATTCTGAGTGAAAGAAGCCAGACGCAGAAGACTGCTTGCTGTATGATTCCAGTTATATGACGTGGTTCTAGGAAAGGCAAGCCTGGAGTGAAAGGAGATCCGTGGTTGCCAGGGGCAGAAGGGAAGGAGCAAGTGATTGCCAGGAAGGTAACTTCTTTGGGTTTTGGAAATCGTCTCTCTTGTAATCCTACTGACAGTTACATGCATGACTACATATGTTTGTAACATGTTATCAGCTTATTCACTTAAATATAGTAAATTTTATTGCACGTAAATTAATCCTGCAATAAAGCTGACTCAAATTTTCTACAAACTGAAAATTTTCTACAGTTTTGTTTTGGAAATCATTTGGCCACAACTAACTCTTGGTTTATGATTCAGTCAGGTTTGTCTACAATCAACAGACATGTTTGAGAATTTTTATGAGGTGAGAAATATCTGCCTGATAAATTATTTCCAGGTGCCCTGAGAGGTTTTTGAATATTGGATTGAACAACAAATTAGATGTGATGTTTTGTAGACATAGAATGAAATGTATTCACTTTGGGTCTGCAGCTTTTGCAGTTTGGAGCTAATTTTTTTTTCTCTTGGAGAGATGTTGCTTGTTTCCATACTGCTGTGAAAACTGTGAGTTCTGTGTGCCCTCCCAGACACAGGGTACCCAAAGGGAACACAACAGCACTGGGTCCAGGATCTGTGATTGGAGTCTCAGCCTAGGAGTAAGGAAAAGTTTCCCAGAGGAAGGGAAACATAAATAGGGTTTTGAAGGATGAGTAGGAGTTCTTCAAGTGGGACAAGTGGAGAGAGACAACTAGACAGGTGTAACAGCATATTCAAAGGCTAGGAGTCATGAGGCAAGTTGCTTGGGAGTGACACATATTTGGGATGGTAGGAGGTTGGCTTGACTGGGGAGGCGGCTGGCAAGAGATGTGGCTAAAGGGAAATTTTTTTTTTTTTTTTAGATTTTGTTTATTTGACAGAGAGAAACACAGCAAGAGGGGGAGCACAAGCAGGGGGAGTGGGAGAGGGAGAAGCAGGCCTCCCGTGGAACAGGGAGCCCGATGCGGGGCTCGATCCCAGGACCCTGGGATCATGACCTGAGCCGAAGGCAGACGCTTAATGACTGAACCACCCAGGCGCCCATAAAGGGAAATTTTAAAAGAAAAAATAAGCAATAATACCAACTGCTACTTACTGAGTACCTAGTATGTACCAAGTATTTAATCTACACAACAAACCAAAGAATAGGTTTGCTGTGCAGGATGTAGCAAAAGTGGTTGGGTTTGGTAAGAGGGCTCTCCCCTCTCTGAGATTGTAGGAATTCAGGGCTTCTGGGCTATGGAGGGAGTAAGGCCTGGGAAAGGGGAAGGTGCCATGGAGGCTGTGGTAAAGAACCCCAGATAGACCTACACACATCTTATTTCAAATTCCTGTTCCATTTCTTAGATGTGTGCCTTGAGCAATGACTAACCTTCCCTCAATTTCTGGTTCCTCTTACCCACCAAATGACAAAGAGGTAGTATCCTTAATACGTAAAGAGTTCTTACAAATCTCTAACAAGGAGAGGGGAGAATAGGCAAATGGTATGAGGCGCAGTTTACAAAAAAAGTAAAGTCAACACACACATGAAACTACTCAGCCTTACTAGGAATCAAAGCAATGCTCATTAGGGTAATTATGAGATGATATTTTTTGCCTGTCAGATTGGCAAAGTCGAAACAATGCTAACATCCAGTGTTGGCAAGGATGTGGTAACATGGGTACTCATACCTGCTGGTGGAAGTATCAATTAGTACAGCCTCCTAAAAGGCCATTCAGCAATTCATGGCAAAACCATTTGTGCATATCTCCGACCAGCCAGCCATTCCCCTTGTAAGAATTTAGGCTAAGAGAGTAGTCGTTCAGAAAGGTGCTTAGGAAAATGTTCCTCAAAATGCCAGAAGCAAATAAAATCAACATCAATGCCTATCAGTAGAAGAGTAGTCTACTCTACTATTCCTACCTCTATACTCCTTCCAACAACTATGTTATGAACACCTACTGTGTCCCAGACATTGAACTACATGCTGGGAATTTGGCAACAAGACCAAAAAGCTCCCTGCCCTCATGGACCCCCTGATACTGACAGCAAAATTAATTTGTCTGTATGTGGTTCCAGACAGACTGTCTACGGCTTTATCAGGCTCAAATCTTTCAGAACATCCATGACTTCCTTCCTTAAGCACCAATACAGGGCGGTGGGCGGGGAGGGGGGGGGATAAGTTGATTCTCTCACTCTCTTTTTAAGTTTATATACTAAAGTGCATACTTTAAGAGTTAGAAAAAAACCTATAATATTCTGCATAGGGTCCCTGCCAGGCAAAATAATGGGTGATTTCACTGTTTTTCACTTCTTGTTCATCTGCCTTTTCTCATTGGGTGAAGATGTCACGCACGTGAAATAAGCCAGAAACAAAAATACAAAGGCCATATAATTCCACTTCTATGAGGTCCCTTGAGGAGATAAAATCCTAGAGACAGAGAGCAGAATGATGGGCGCCAGGGGCTGGCGGGTGGAGAGAAGTGGGAGTTAGGGTTTAGTGGGTACAGAATTTCAGTTTTGTAGGATGAAAAGAGTTCTGGACCTGGATGGTGGTGATGGTTGCACAACAGTGTGAATGTACTTAATGCCACTGAGCTGGACGCTTCAAAATGGTTAAGATACTAAATTTTATGTCAAGTGTATTTTACCATAATTAAAAATAAGGGGAAGAAGGAGATCTGAAGAGGAGAGATACGAGCACTGTGTGTTCAGACGCTGGTTCTCTCAATTCTGAATAAAACGTTTCCTCTCTGAGCCTTTTTCTCCTTAGATCATCTACCTCAAGGGTAGTGTTTTCTGCAAAAGACAGGATAGTAAATAATTTCATCTTGGCAGGCCATCCGGTCCCTACTGCAACTCTTCTGCCATTAATAGCAGGAAAGCTGCCATAGACAAGATGTCCGCAAGTGAGCATAGCTCTGTTCTAATAAAACTTTATTTACAAAAAGAAGCAATGGGCCATAGTTTGCCAGCTCATTATAGA